GTGTTGTAGTGAGACCAGGTGACGTGTTGTAGTGAGACCAGGTGACGTGTTGTAGTGAGACCAGGTGACATGTTGTAGTGAGACCAGGTGACGTGTTGTAGTGAGACCAGGTGACGTGTTGTAGTGAGACCAGGTGACGTGTTGCTGTAATGATACCAGGTTAGTGACGTGTCAGTGTAATGAACTCGAGATCGCTGTAATGTTCGCTGGTGTGTGGTGTGGATCAGTTTAGTCTTTTGCTCGGTGCGATCAGTCCCACCCAAAAGTCGGTGTCCTCCCTAACAGCCGTGGTCCCCCACAGGGTGCGACTGAGCAAGCGGCGGCAGAAGCCCGGCGCAGGGCGCAGCACCTCCCGCCTGGTCGTGACTCACCGGCCCCTCACCGCCGCCGAGTTCAGGACTCACCGCCACCGCGACGCGATGCTCCAGCCTCCTGGGGAGGAGGAGGAGGAGGAGGAAGAAGAAGAGGAAGAAGCTGTGGGGGAGGAAGCTGGTGAGTGGGAATGGTGAGGAAGGGTAGCAGGAAAAGCTTGGTGATGAAGGGTTGGGCCTCTTTCGAACTCTGGGGTTGGGGTGTTTACCTAAGACAATCCTGTGGGGCCCGAGTGCTGCCCTAATGGCTAAGATTTTAATTGCAGGCGTTGTAACCCGACACAGTTTTTTCTACCTCGTCTGATCCAGCACCCATAGGATTATAGAGAATATAGAACACGCTTGCTTGCTTAAAGGTACACTCGCGACAACAGTATTTAACGCATGTCCAGTGCAAAAATATCCTCCATGGTAAACTCTGGGCTACGTCCTTGATGTCGGCTTATCGACGAATTCCTTACAGTGTACAGTCGGTGACAGCTTCCTTGTTTTGTCAACCGGCATCATCACGTTTAGTGTCTTTTATAGCAAAAATATACGATTTAAACCATAAAAGACGTAATCGGGAATTTGGTGAACACGTCGCCTGATGAGAGATTGAATTTCGCAGGTTCGCCCAAAGAATCAGTGGAAGGGAGGCGTTCACGCTCGCGGTCCCCGTCAGGGTGAGTGTTGCTGGGGTTCTCCTGCTGTGTGGAGGACTCTCCCAGCTGTGTGTGGTAGAGAGTGGTTCCTGTGTGCGTAGTTCCTCACCACGAACTACGCGTGGACGTGTTAGTAAGAATGGTGGCTCGCATCGCGTAGGTGCCTGAAAACGTTTTATTGCTTTGTAAATTGGCAGCAATCGTGTTCTTTTAGTGGCACTGCCATTAAAAGGACTAATATGAAAAGCTGCGTCGGTCAATTGAATGGCTTGATATTGGAGAAACTTGAAGCTCATTGATATTTTTCTCTGAATGGATTACTTACTATCAATTCCTGTTCTGAGTACAGGTCACGCTCTGGCAGTCGTTCTCGATCGAGGTCTCGGTCCGGCAGCCGGTCACGACGTGGGTCTCGCTCCAGCAGCCGGTCGCGACTATCAATTCCTGTTCTGAGTACAGGTCACGCTCCAGCAGCCGGTCACGACGACGGTCTCACTCCGGCAGCCGATCAGGACGCGGATCTCGGTCCGGCAGCCGGTCGCCTTCAGGATCTAGGTCTCGCAGTCGCTCCCCACGGCGGCGCTCTAACAAGTACGTTTGATGTGCACGTTCACCAGCGATACGTTATTATTATTTATTCGACGACATAATATAGCCTCAGTGGAAGCAACGATGTGCAGCGTGCTGGATGTCCTGCTGTTGTAGCTACTGGCCCAGGCGACCACGCCTGCGTCTGGCGGTCAGATGAGGGAAGTGATAAAAATGAGTAAAGGTTAAAAGAGGAAAGTGCCTCCATGGGGCTGTGGCGCAAAGAGGAGACGATAAGGGCAGTGGGATTTTGGCAAGGAGAACAGGTCTTCGGGTGGTATAGAGCAGGTTTCTACCCTCAAGGGACATTGATTTCTTCCCTTCGAAACGTTTAGAGTGCCGGCGAGGTGCAGTGGCCGACCGCAGCCGAGTGACGTCCTCTGTGCGTGCTATATTCCCCACGTCAGGGTTTCTTTATACAATGTTTTGTATGGCTTTCAAAGTTCCGTTTACATCTGATGCCACAATTGTATTTTCGTCGGTAAAACTCGATGTATTTCCGATCCTGCAGATCTCGATCCGGGTCTCGCAGTAGCTCGGGCAACCGCTCTCGATCGGCAAGCCCAAAACAGGGATCTCCACGATCTGGATCTCCCCCAGCTAAGAAGAGATCGCCCCGAGCAGGTTCAGGATCTCCCCGATCTGGGTCTGGTTCGCCACGATCAAGATCTGGTTCGCCACGATCAAGATCTGGTTCGCCTCGATCAAGATCTGGTTCGCCAAGGTCAAGATCTGGTTCACGATCAAGATCTGGTTCTCCGCGATCAAAGTCTGGTTCGCCTCGATCAGGATCTGCGTCTCCCCGATCAGGTGCCGGATCTCCGCGGTCAGCGTCGGGATCGCCACGGTCTAAGAATGGGTCTCCAAGATCTGGATCTGGTTCTCCTAGATCGGGAGCAGGATCTCCGAGGAGTGGATCTCCAGCGTCTCCAAGGTATGGGGCTTAATGAACGTCTGCGTTTGCAACATATTTAATGGTTACAATCGTTACATATTATTACATGTCTAATGGTTACAATCAAAACTACTTTGTTTGCTGGCACTGCAATGGCAGCAAAATGTAGGGTTCGTACCAGTCCGCTCAGACGCTTTGGTGAAGACCTTTTACGAGACGCGTTTAACTATTGCATTTCTTCTATTTTTGAGATATATTCCTGACTAATTTTAAGGATTGTACCTGATTATTGCCTGTTTTTTCCGCAGGTCAGACGCTGGCTCTGCGGCTCACTCGGCTCCTGGCTCAGACTCCGAGTGATGGCTCCGTCGGTGATGTGCCGCGGACATTGTTGATGCACGCATGTCGCTGGCATTGTTGGTGTTTCGCGGACATTTTTGATGTTTATAAATAATGATTATGCCCTCTGTCTTCTTCTACCTACTAGTGGGTCGGTATAAATGTGGGGCGTATTTTCAAAAATACGAGTTTATTATCCATTAGAAAATCACAATGAAGGCTTATGAAAGGAGAGGGTTTGGACCTAAGAAGGATGAGGATATTGTCTTTAAATTATTTTGGTATTCTATTAGAAGTACGTTCGTGGTCAAAAAAAGATCATATTGTAGGTCCTGCGTTTTACCCTTAATAAAATGTACTTAGCCTCATGGTTCTTTCTTTTGTCCGTCAAACAGGCTGCCTCGCAAATTTCTATGAACAGATATTCGAGAACGGAGTTCTGGAGTTTGCTGGAGCTTTGATGTATTGAGCATGCGTGGACTGCTAATGTTCTGCTTGGGAACAGAGTTGGAGGATGATAATCATTCCCGCATCTTTCCATAACAATCAAACTTTATTAATCTACAGGGACTACAGCCTAATTAAAAGCCTTGCACAGGTTAGCTTTGCACATTTCCCTTAATACAAAAATTGTGTTAATTAATCCATTGATGCCAAGCGGTTCCATTTGCAACCAGCGTAGGAAAATAAATCCATGTAAAAACCGTATGCTCAAATGAATATTTAAGTGGATGACTTAGTTTGAATGTTTTATAATTTAGTTCTGGCAACGTTTGGTTGCCAGAGGAAGGATAGCAGATTACCACATCATAGCGGAGGAAGGATAATGGTTCGTTCTGAAAATATTATTTCATCAGTTAAATGAAGATTTTTATCGGCAAGGAGTGTAACTTTAATGCTGTGTATGGTATTACGTGATATAATGTTTCTGAAGTCATTTATATCATAAAATATTTAGCCTGGTTTCAAATAGAGCAGCTAGGCAGCAGAGTGAGCGTCCCAGACAATTCATTTTTCCACTTAATAACTCTGTGACATAATTATGCATTGCTGCTAAAAAAATATTTTTAATTATTTTTAAGTTATAGATATAGTTATTGAGTTATCTATTTGTGATTCTATCCTTAGAACTGTTAGGTGTATATACCAGAAGTTGTAATATTTGGAACTAAATTAAACATCATAAGATTTTTCATCCTGAGCTACTTTTTCTACTTGTATTTTTTTTTGCAGATTATTACTTGATCAAATACTTGAGCTTTCGAGAGAAAAAGAGCATGAAGATAAAATATTTGCTATTGAACCTCCAATAGAACAACAGCCGAAACAGACTGCGATTTATATACTGGCACATACGATTCCGAACGCCTACCGAGAATAGTTATTCTAGCAACAGTATTCAACAAATGTGATGACAATGAACATTGACAGAGAAGACGATAAACTATGGTAGATGGAGATAAATAGTCTATATGAGGCAAGCTCGTGAGATTTGGTCATAAGCNCTGATCATCGGCTGGGAAGATGATCAGAAGCACTGCAAAGGGAGATCAGAAGCACTGCATATGCAAACAATGTGGACAACGCACCCATCACATTTGTAGTATGCACAACCCTCCTATTCATTCACAATGAACGAAAGCATTCCATAATGAAGACTAGAATAAATTCCAGTACATTTATGTATGAATGGTATATTAGCAGTTGCGTTGTAAGGATGTAAAATTAAGTTCTAGAAGCAACTGAATGGGAGGCGACAACTCACAACAGTAGGATCGACCGCTATACATGTCAGTTTTTTGGATGCCAGCAGTTATACAGTTAGCAACCCATATAACGCCACTGTCAACTTGCTGTAGCTTAGGGACTTTATCATAGCTGACAAGCACTGCTGTTATTAGTGAGTTAGTCAGAGTTACACAAGTAATTTATACGGCGAACATAGTATTAACTCAAATAATTTGTTATTATTTTGCATAAACTAGGAATAAATGCAACTGTTATTGTCATTTTTTATTTAACGAACGAACTGGTCAGTCTTGAAATGCAATTTATTCACGTGTAGGGTTGCTGGGCTCATGCTGGGCTGGAGTCAGTGTGCTTCTGAAGTGCGGGCCGTAGACCAGATTGAAGGTCGAGTTTGATGATCCCGTCTGGAGTGTTCCCTGATCAAAGAGGAGTCTGATCTCGTATTTGAGACGGTTAAGCCGCTACCCGTAATATGTATCTATAATGTTAAGTGTATATATTTAGTGTTCCTTTGACAACGTTCTTTTGTATTAATGTAATAAATGTATCATATAGTGCTGTTATAAATGAACTCGTATTGGCTGATAGGAGTGTTTTAAGGAGAGTACCTCACACTAGTTAGAAATGAACTCAAGGAAGCAATAAGCTTCATTACATACCTTTTGTCCATTATGAACAACCTTCATCTAATATTTACTATTGGAAAAAGCGTTATTCAATTAAATTTGAAAATTTTATATTTTTTTGTAATGTTAATGCCGAACGGTTCCATATAGATCCAAGGTATAATTTTTTACTGTCTTGCACTGAAAAAAATCGAGGCAATGATATCTTCTCATGTCTGTCAAGTACAGGTAAACCCTATGACAGCAAATCTTGTTTCTTCAGTGTCTACTGCAGGAAGGATATACTAGCTAGGTATTATTTAGTTCCACGATTAAAACAGACCAGGCTTGCTAATAATCATTACACAGGTGAAAATGCACACTGATACTGTAGTCTAAAGACCTGGCGCAAACGCCTAAATGTAAAAGTTTAACAATGAATATGAATAGCCTTAAGCTCACGCGTCACTCGAGCGTTCGCTGCAAAGTTCTGAACAAAAATGAAAGGAAATGCGAAGTTTTGAGCATGCACAGCACAACGCAACATGCATTCTTGGTGCAACCTACAAACGACNCACAAATTATACTTTATTAGTGTACGTAATCGTTTATATATGATTGGTAGATGAAAATTTCTTAACGGCAAGCATTTCGCGAAAAATGATGTTGTTCCTCATCTGTTAACCATCATGAATTAAAAATCACGTAAATTTAAAACATTTAAAAACATAAATTTAAATTTAAAATCGAGTAAATTTAATTTAATCTTCACTAAATGACTGTTAAAAATTTTAATTCACAATTGTACGGGAGTTCCACAGTAGCATCCATAGCCACGATTACGTATGTAGCCGTTCATGCTACCGTCGTCTGTCATTTATATAGAAATAAATGTAGCAAAGCAGACAGGCAAATCCTAAGCTGCGCCTTTCACAGAATTTGTTATGGTCACTTTCACTGATACATTATTGTAGAAATTTTGATCATCGAAGAATTTGTTTATTGGTAAAAAATCACGATATTAATTTAAATTTATTATTGCCATATGAATTAATATTGTCTTCGTGCATAGTATTTTCTAGCATCGCACACCTTGAGACTATGTAGTAAATATATGTAAAACCTAGTCCCTCGTAATACGTTAACTAATGTTTTTCATTGCAAATGAGGATCGCCCATACTACTGCGCTACCGACTTGCCATTATGTTAATAGAGCTTAACTTCATAAAACACAAGCTAACAGTATAGTTGAATAAACGAACGCCACGTGGAGCTAGACTTCTGCTTAAGTGTTTAAGTTTCTTCATTCTTATCTTCTTTTCGCATAACAAGGCGCCGATATTATCAGCTTCGTTTTTTTACCCTAAGTTTAGGGTAATTGAATCTTTCGTCTGATTATTTGCGGATAATTTCTCATAAATTGGTACAGTCTAATTTTAAGATATTGTATAATTGTCTGCTGTCTTCAGAGGCTTCAATTTTTGCAGAAATTTGCTCTCTGACTCACTGATGTGACATGCATATGTTGTCTTCTATTTGCTTAACTATATTTTCCATTCATAGAGCCTCGAATGAGAATAAAAGCAGCTTTAATTGTACTAATAGCCAAATGTTACACAAAGAATATTTTTATACTCATATAGAGACATCTCGAAACAATATTACGTGTTAACTGCTCAATAATCTAGCTGTTTCTAGCTTACCGCGCCAAATTTTGGAGTAAATGTTTGATCTAGGGTAGGAAAGCTTGAGCTCGTTGCACTTGTGTAATACCACTCAGCGGTCAGCGCCAGTGAACGCCTCCGTGCACACTCTGCCAGTTGCCAGCAGTCGTCGCTAGTGTGAAGGGATGATGTGTCGTGTGTTGATGGAGGTCTGAGAAAACAGGTGGTGTTTGACCTAAGATTTTTTATAATTATTTGTGCGCATTGGAAGAGAAAACGCGCAAAGGAATATCAGTGCTCATAATTCTATCTACGGAGGTATTATATCGGAATTTATCCTTACGCAATAGTAAAGAATCCAGATGAGCACCATGTGACTGTGTGACATGTCGATTGTCGGGTAACGATGCCACGTTTCGACGTGAAGCTTCCAATTCAGTCGGCAGCCTCACTTGTCATGATCGCGTCATTCGCGGGCAACCTCCAGTTTACCGTATTATTAAGGTCCTTATACACGGGGATGTTATCAGCAAGAGTATTCGGTACAAGTGCTTCACACATCCAGTTTTGCCGACTGCAATTTTATTACGAGGAAACTATTTGCTAGAAAGTATTTTTGTATCCGCAACCGTAACTTCCGTAAGTGCCAGTGCGTCGTTAGACGCCGTCGAGCGTGGTCGTTCTACGGTGGAATTTGGAACATGGCGGTGATAAGTTTGAGGAGACGTTTGATGAAGCAGTTGGTGGCATACCTAGTTGTCACTCATGCCGAGATGTTAAAAAAATCAAACAGCGTACAGTGTGAGTGAGAGACCGTATAAGCAATAAGGTCTCGTTTAATTTTGAAAACGCTACCTTTTCAATTAGTTTTCGTTGGAATATTCAACGTGACGTATATTCCGAAAATTCACATTAGATCGTACGTCTTAAATATCTATAACAGTTCAATATCATCTGAAAACCTATTATTTAACGTTCTTAAAATCGTCGTCGTTCGGACACGACATAGTTTATATCATTAAAGCACTTGACACGAGCAGAATACAGAGCGTCGCAGAAACGCATACTACGGCTGCTGCAGCCACGTGGTGTTACTTCTGGGCACAATAACAGCCTCATTTGCAACAGAGTATCAGCCACTTGCATCTGAAGAACAAATCAGCTAAATTTTGAAGTGTGAAGTGCTTGCTAGGGATACTCGCAGCTCGTACTAGCAACGTGTAGTAATTTTGACGCGTTACCTGTAGTCGTAATTTGAACCGCTCCCACAGTTTGGCCGGAACTTTCATACTAGGCTTTCCACGCATAACTTTGTCAAATCGAAACCAATCTTGACCTAATTAACAACG